ATTAATATCTAACTACTGAGTCTGGGATCTCATTAATAATAAACATTAAGTCAAACAAGCTTACCTCTCCATAGAACTTTAAATGACCTTTACACAGCCTTGTTAGATAATGCTCTTATTACAACATTGCAAGGCATACAACAATTCCTTTTCCTTATTTCTAAGTTTTGTATAATTTTTCTAAACGAACATGTTCCCACTATTAGTTAGCAATAAACTACTCTAAAACTATGTGGCTGAAATGTACACATATATATATAGCCACATGCGGTGGCACATGCCTGCAGGTTTGGCTACTGGGGAGGCTGAGATGGGGGGATGGCTTAAGTCCAGGAGTTTGAGGTGGCAGTGGGCCGTGATTGCACCATTGCACTGCAGCTTGTCTCAAAAAACAACAAACAAACAAAACAAACAAACCTTGTGGCTTAAAACTACAATCACTTTATTATATATATCTATGTATCTATAAAATACTTTTATGGGCCAGGAATTTAGGAACAGCTTTGCTGAGTGATTCTTCTGCTCTCCGTAGCATGGAATGGAGTCACAATGTTTGGTTGATAGCTGAGCAGGTGTGGAGAGTCTGAGACAGCTTCATTCACATACCTGGTGTCTTGACTGGGATGATTAGGTAAGCTAAATACAGCTGGACCCGCCTTCCTCTTCATGTAATTTCAGGGTCTTTCCATATGATCTCTTCAGCAAAGCAGCTGGGTATTTTACATGTGCTTAAGACGGTCAGTCTTCTTAAAGGTGACTCGGAAGTGGCAGAGCATCTCCACTCCCATATCCCATTAGTCAAAGCAGTCATAGTCCAGTCCAGATTCAAGGAAAAGGGAACAGAGAGCCCACCTCTCAATGGGAGAAGTAGCAGGATGTGGTGGTTTGCACCTGCAATCCCAATTATTCAGGAGGCTGAGGCCAGGAGTTTGAGAACGGCCTGGGCAACATAGTGAGATCCTGCCTTTACAAAAATAAAAAATAAATAAGCTGGGTGTGCCTGCAGCCCCAGCCAGAAGGATGAGGCAGGAGGATCTCTTCAGCCCAGGGGTTTGAGGCTGCTGTGAACTACAATCACACCATTGCACTACAGCACTGCTACTCTAATCCTACTAGAGTGAGACCCCATCTCTGAAAAATAAATAACAAAAACCAATCGATTAATTATTAAATGGGAGAACTGTCAAAGAATTTGTGGCCATGTTTAGTCCATCAGAAATTTTGCCTTGTAAACAGTTACTTTCATTATATGGGTAATTCTTTTCCACTAAGATCTGTTGTACTAAGGGTTCCCATTACTTTCTAGGAGGTCTGTCATAACTTTTTCACTACATGAGAAATGACCCTGGGTGCAGCTCACTACTCTTTTCTCCCTCTATAACCATGCAAGCACTAATGGACAATGTAGGATTTCAAAATGTAGTCACCGAACTAGTAGCATCTGCATAATCTGGGAACCTGTTACAAATGCAAATTCTCAGGCCTGACTTCCCACCTACCGAATCTGAAACTCTGGGGATGGGGCCCAGTAGCCTATGTTTTAACAAGCCATCTTGGCAATTCTAAATGTATGCTAAAGTTTGGAATCAGTGTTTTGGAGATGTAAGTCACTTGATGAAAATAACTGATACTAGTCTCACAAGAGAGTAAATTTTATGTCGTGCTTTTTTTACAATTAGAAAAGAAACAGGCCAGGTGTGGTGGCTCATGCCTGTAATGCCAGTACTTTGGGAGGCTGAGACAGGAGCATCACTTGAGACCAGGAGGTCGAAGCTCAGTGAGCTGTGATCATGCCACTGCACTCTAGCCCAAATGACAGAGACCTTGTCTGGCTACAAAAACAAAAACAAAAACAGTAAAACAGAAACAATGTATAGAGTCTGTAAATACTATACTGGCTTTATTTACAGCACTTTCAGAAATCACAGATAATGCCAAAGAAAGCTGGTGTGGTGGCTTTCTCTAACTGATGGCCTTCCTCAGCTGTCAATAACCTTTCCCATGTACTTGAAATGCAGGAAAGACTCCCGTTCTCCCACACACCATAGGGACACTTCCCGGAGACATCACACCTTATGTCTAACGAATCACTTGTGAAAAGAACTTGTACCTTGGCCGGGCGCGGTGGCTCAAGCCTGTAATCCCAGCACTTTGGGAGGCCGAGGCGGGTGGATCACGAGGTCGAGAGATCGAGACCATCCTGGTCAACATGGTGAAACCCCGTCTCTACTAAAAACACAAAAAATTAGCTGGGCATGGTGGCAGGTGCCTGTAGTCCCAGCTACTCAGGAGGCTGAGGCAGGAGAATTGCTTGAACCCAGGAGGCGGAGGTTGCGGTGAGCCGAGATCGTGCCATTGCACTCCAGCCTGGGTAACAAGAGCAAAACTCCGTCTCAAATAAAAAAAAAAAAAAAAAAAAAAAAAAAAAAAAAAAAAAAAAAAAAAAAAAACTTGTACCTTTTCCATCTTAATAATGGGCCTATTAAGTAACTAGATAGATAGATAGATAGATAGATATATTCTTTTTTGTTGTTGTTGTTTTTTTTAAGACAGAGTCTTGCTCTATCACCCAGGCTGGAGTTCGGTGGTGCAATCTCGGCTCACCACAATCTCCGCCTCCTGGGTTCAAGTGATTAGTGATTCTCCTGCCTCAACCTCCCAAGTAGCTAGGACTACAGGCATGTGCCACTATTGCCCAGCTAATTTTTGTATTTTTAGTAAAGACAGGGTTTCACTATGTTGGCCGGGCTGGTCTCAAACTCCTGACCTCCTGATCCACCCACCTCAGCCTCCCAAAGTGCTGGGATTACAGGCGTGAGCCACCATGCCTGGCCTAAAAATACATTATTCTTTTAAAAGGACTTTCAATCCCCCTTACAGACAGGTGTTGTGTAAGAGAAAATGGGAAATTTTGTTGATCCTGTCTATGACACCTTGTTTTCTCATCCTTTAATTCCTACTCTGCAGTACTTCTTTCTTTGTACTTTCTTTGAGTTTACTCTATAGTTCATTTATCTTCAGGCTTCCCGATCGTCCTCAGTCTCCCACGTTAACTGCAGGGACTACAGGAACAGGCGCACACCGCCAGCACCAGAAATAATGCAGAGCAGCCAATAAAAAAATTAGCCCAGCTAATTTTTGTTTTTGTAGAGATGCGGTTTCGCCATGTTGCCTAGGCTGGCCTGGAACTCCTGAGCTAATACAATCCACCCACCACAGCCTCCCAAAGTTCTGGGATTACACGTGTGAGCCACCACACACAGCCCCTATTTTCTTATATAAATACTGTTTTGGCAGTGTCCTAAAAGTTTTGATATATTAATACGTTTATCACTCCATTTTAAGTATTTTCTGCTTTCCATTATTTTCTCTTATTGATATTTCTGAAAATATAAGACTTTTTTCCTAGTCTGCTTCTACTATTGATATCTTACATAGTGACCAGAAAACATAACCTGCAAGATCAGGAATCAGCAAACCCTGCAAAGGGCCAAACAATAAATACGTTATACCTTACAGGCCACATGGGATCCATCATAACGATTCAACTCTGACTTTGTAACATTAAAGCAACCACAGACGATATGTAAATAAATGAGGTTGGCTGTATTGCAATAAAGCTTCCCTTACAAAAAGAGGTTGCTGGCCAGATTCAACTGTGAACCATAGTCTGCTAACCCTTGGTCTACATGGCACCAATTCTTTGGTAATTATTAAGATCTACTGTTACTTAGTACCTGATATTTTATAATGTTCCACGCATGCTTGAAAACCAATAAAACATCTTGTCCCTGGCCTGCTCCACTTCTTTAAAGTTCAGGCCTGGCCCATGTCCACATTTGATCTCAGCTGCCAGTTTTGCCACCTGCTATTGGGTGGTTGGAGGCACATTAGTTAATGTCGCTAATCCTCAGGTTCCTCAACTACAAAGTGAGAAAACAACAGTACCTACCTCATGGGAAGCACATAAGGAAGGATTCAATGAGATAATCCACATAAAGCACCTGGCAGAGTCCCCGGCGGCCTTCAATCGTCAGTAGTAGTGTTAGCATCATGAGGCAGGTGTAATTATAACCATTTTACAAGAAACTAAGGCTTACAGAGGTTTAGGTAAGTTGCCCAAAGTTTCCCAGCCAGTAGCAGCAGCTCCCACCCAGAACTTTTCTTTACAAATTCAACGTGTCTGCTACTCAAAATGATCCAGACACACTAACATTTAGGGAATTTACTGTATGCCATTCCGAAGCGAGGCTGCATTTTAAGACACCCGGGGAAGAAACGGATTGCGAAACCCATAAGAATTCATTCTGTGTGGTGCAAGTTTTGTCTGAAGGGAAAAAATACTGTTGCATGAGTTCAAACGGATAACAAACCATCTAACAGAATTCAGGAACCAGGGGGCCGAAGCTTCTAAGCAGGACACATTCCTCTCCGGGCTCGATCATGTAAGGAAGTGGCGTCACCCAGCGGCGCACCCGGCTCCGAAGACCCTGCTGCTGCGTGGCCCGCGACCCACGGCCGTGGTGCCCTTCAAGGCTCCGCAGCTCCTCGCGCCTGATGAGCCCAGCGCCTAAAAATACTACCCTAGTTAAACCTCCGGGAACCTGTATTCGGCATTTCAAAATAAATGGGCGCCATCATCACCTTGAGCCACATAAATCACAGCCCTGACCTGCTGTGAATTCAGCAGGCGACGAGCCGCTGAAAGTGGCGACGAGGTCCGCCCCTTTCGAAGACCAGCAACTTTCCTTTCTTTTTGCCCTGCAGAAGGCGCAGATCGTAACGGTGAGACCCCCGAGCAGCCCGAAGAGTCGGACTTTGGAGAAAACAGCCGGGGAATCTCCACGTCTCGCAGCCCAGGCTAAGCCCAGGAATCTTCAGAGCCATACCCTGTGACAATCACAAGGGTTTTCTCCGCCCCGCGGGTGACGGAGAACTCGTGACCGGCCCCTCAGCTCCGAGCCCAGCGCCGGGCGGGCCAGGAGAATGAGGGGGCGGAGTTGCAAGCCCTGATCGCCAGGCAGCCCACGACGGTAGCGCGTGCGCAGTCTCTCGCCACGGGACCTCCTTCCCGCCGCTGAGACTAGGAAGCGGGACACCAAATCTGTCCCCGCGCAGCCGCCGCCGCCGGGCGCAGAGCGGGGTGGCCGCCCTGCCTGAGGCGCGCCTGCGCACGTCCCCACGCACGCTCCGGCGTACGGCGGCGGCCAGGGGTCGCGAGCCGGTGGAGGACCCGCGCGCGGAGGAGCTCGAGGAGTCAGCGCTTCTTCCCTCCCTCCCCTACTCCCCTCCCCGCTCCCTGCCCCCCCCTCCCCAAGAATGTTCCGCTACGAGGTGAGCTGTTGCGACCGGAAGTGACCCCTCCCTCCCTTCCGCGCCCCTTTCTCTCACTTACCCTCCGCGCGCCCGTCCGGAGTTCTTAACGGGGCAAGGGGCGGGCTGAGGGAGTCCCAGGATCTAGAGGGGCCCGACTGGCCTGGGGTCGCGGGTCTAATCCTAGGGCTGGGAGCTGGCTTCAGGGGTCGAGACAGTCCCATTAGTTGCCGATGGGGAAAGTTGGCCTCCGTTTTAGGGTAGGGAGGGCCCGTTAAGTGCTGTAACCAACCAGACCACACCCCCGCCCCCACCCCTAGAGGAGCCGTGGAAGGTAGAGCGTGGCATCTACCCTGGAGCTTTTCTTAAGAGTCACTCGGGAATTCCCAGAGCCGAGTTTCCCGCCCTGGACCCGGAACCACCCCACCACCCACCCCCACTCAAATTACACTGACACACACCCTATTCATACAGGCTACCATCAGGTCAAGGGGTCCTGGGCTTGCCCTTGGACTAGGGCCCCAGCCCGTTTACTAAAGAGGGCTCCGAGTTGGGAGGGGGGCGTGTCCTGCTGAAGTTCCTTCGGGGCTAGTGCTGGGAGGCGTGGGTTTGGTGAAGGTCCCGAGAATGTAGCAATAGCAGCAGACACCACTGACCCTGTCACCAACTCACTTTATGACCTTGAGCGACTTCTAATCTCTGGACGTAGACTTTCTGGATTTGTAGCTTGAAAGAACTGATGTAAATGATCCTTAAGAATTTTTAATTTTGAAAAGCAGTGATTTGGTTAAGAAGATCATTGTGACCTGGAAGGGAGTACTGCTGGAAGTTGCCTCTGATAAGGAGGCAGTTGCATGCCTGATTTGCATGAGTCTGGAAGGGCTCGGGAGGATGAGAATAACACCCTTTGATCTCATCTGTCTTTTGTAAACAGGGTAGCAAAGAGGTAGCCTGGTGAGGTATATCACAAAAGTACCTACTGATAGAATATGGAATTCTGATTCTGAATTTTTGAAAATTGAGGACAGGTATACTTGATAGGAATGATCCAAGAACAAACTGAAAGGAAAACTTGGAGAATAAACCAGTTGAGTAAAATTGAAGTCGGGGGGGAAACAGAACACACCTAAGATGTGGTGACTTTGTTCGATAATCCATGTTTGCCTGCTTTGATCATCACAACTCTCTGCCATAGTTGGTATTGTCTTCGCATTGCAGTGTAAGAGACTGAGCCTTACAGCCTAGCACAGAGCCTTAGACACAATAGGTTCTTCAAAAGTATTTGACAAGTTAATTAGAAACTTTCTGAGTTGCCCATGTTCACACTGATTGAAAGAATGGAGCCAGAACTTGAACTTGCATCACAGCTTTCTAGAGTTCATTGAATTGTAGTTGAAGACCTAGCTTTCTGTTTAATCACTGAAGTTTAGGCCTATAGGAAAGATAAAAAGATGGAAAATGAAGACAAAGTTTTAAAAGGGACTAATAGTTGAAAAGATGGTACGAATATAATGAGAAAGATGAGAATTTTGCTGGAAAAGATACATAAAGATTCAAGAAAATAAAGGGTTTGTTATTAGTTGTCATCACTATTCCAACCAGTGATGTTAGGGAAGTTGTGTGCTTAATTTCTTGGTTGAGTTGAGCAACTGCTGTTGGTAGATTCTTAGAGAAGTGGAATGCTGTAGGGGGAGGCAAGAATTAAATGAAATAAGGAATAGGAAATAGAAAGTGAAAGAAAGATGATGAAATCTTCAAGTGTCAGGGAAATTGGGAAGTAGAAAAAAATGCCATCTTTACAAAAAGTCATAATGAAGCAATTATGTTCATCGAGAAGGTAAGATGAACATTTTTAGAACCTTTTTAAAATGAGAGTGTGAATTTCATAAATAACTAATGTCTTTTCTCTTTTTTTAGTCTTTGGAGGATTGTCCTCTGGATGAAGATGAAGATGCATTTCAGGGACTTGGAGAAGAAGATGAAGAAATTGATCAATTCAATGATGATACATTTGGGTCAGGTGCAGTTGGTAAGTGACATCTTTCTCTTATAATACCATCTTGGCCTCTTGCTGTTTTCAAGTGCTGTCTTTTAGAATTGCTTTATCTTAATAGAGGTAACTTCATTCACTACCTTGGCAAGATATTCTTCTGTTCCTCATCTTAGTCAGAATAGTTCATTCTTCACTGGAAGCAGCATCTACCCTGCTCCTTTGGGTCTCTTTTTGCCTCACCTATAAAATCAGGTATTCTGTAAGCCTTGCCCCTTCCAGCTATGTGATCTATCACTACAGGTTGTGCCTATGAGGGATTCAAATGTTTAGAGAAGTAAACATTTAAGAGAGATTTAAACTAATCCTAGATGAGAGGAATTTTTATTTGTATAACATATAACTTTCTTTTTTTTTTTTCTTTTCCCTGCCTCCCTCCAACTTGTATAACATATAACTTAAGGAAAACTAGTGTACTAGTAGAAAACTCAGACTCTAGTATGTGAGCATATGTGTTTTAAAATTTAGTCTATCACTGGTATATTATATAAGTTTGCAACTTATAGTATCTTCAACAAAATACAAAGCTTTTTATACCAAGAATTTTGGTGGAAGAAAGGCCTCATAGGTTAGAAAAGTATGCACAGATGAAATTTTGTCCATCCCTGGATATAGATACATATTTTTATTTATTTATTTATTTATTTATTTTTTTTGAGATGGAGTCTTGCTCTGTCACCCAGGCTGGAGTGCAGTGGGGCAATCTTGGCTCACTGCAACCTCCACTTCCCAGGTTCAAGCAGTTCTGCCTCAGGCTCCCAAGTAGCTGGTATTATAGGCACCCACCACCACACCCAGCTAATTTTTGTATTTTTAGTAGAGACAGGGTTTTATCACATCAGCCAGGCTGGTCTCGAACTCCTGACCTTGTGATCTGCCTGCCTCAGCCTCTCATAGTGCTCGGATTACAGGCCTGAGCCACTGTGCCTAGTCTATAGATACATATTTTAAGAGCTGAAAAAAATTTAAACACTAAAAAGCCAAACTAAGCTTACAATCCACAGAGTTATAAACATCAAGATTGAAAATTTAGGAAGCAAGCTTATATGATAAAGTTTAAGGAAACATGTTACTTAGAACAGGTGTAAAACAAGTAGAGTAATAAGTTAAAATTTAAACTTTTAAACTATATATATAAATTTTTTTTTTTTTTGAGGCAGAGTCTTGCTATGTCACCTAAAAGCTGGAGTGCAGTAGTATGATCTCTGCTCACTGCAGCCTCTGCCTCCTCAGTTCAAGCAGTTCTCCTGCCCCAGCCTCCCAAGTAGCTGAGAATACAGGCACCTAGCTAATTTTTGTATATTTAATAGAGATGGGGTTTTGCCCTTTTGGCTAGGGTGATCACGAACTCCTGATCTCAAGTGATCCCGCCTCGGCCTCCCCACATGCTGGGATTAGAGGCTATGAGCCACTGCACCTGGCCGAAACTATATTTTTAAGCAACTGAATAGGTAAGAGTCAATGCAGATATGTTTGCTTAGACTTGGTGCTGAGTGCAGCAGTAACAGTGTTTATGTTCAAATGTATAAATATGTATGATTCCTTTGGACTTTGCAGCACTTTTGTCTGTGCAAGAAAACTCCAAGTTAAGTCATAAGGGAGAAGAGGAAAGTTAGCAATAGTTGGTAAACCCAAGATATTAAGTATCAAAAACAAATAAGAGGCTTTAAAGTATTATAATGGGCACTGGTTTTGCAGGGACCTAATAAATTTATTAAAGCTTATACTGAGTTGAATAAACTAGCAAAAATAAAGACGTTTTAATATTGTCAGTCATTTGTAAAATTCAGTAAGTAAAACTTTGTCGTGATTAGAAGCAGCGAGAAAAGTGTTGAAAGTAGAAGCTAGATTCGTATGGAAGGGAATCAAAGACCTTTTGGATTATACTCATGGGTTAGGAGAAGAGTTTGTCCAGAAGTAATCATGATCCAAGATGCTATTCTCTCTCCATGGAGATCACAGGCAAAGAGATGTAGAGTAGAATTAAAAAAGCAGGAAACTGATGTGAATTGCAAATTATATTTGGAAGATAGTTTAGTGACAACCAGTAGAACACAGTAAGCTATTTGTGGTGGATCAAGCCCATGGCTCCCCAGCACTTTGAGAGGCCAAGGCAGGAGGATCATTTAAGGCCAGGAGTTCAAGACCATCCTGGACAACATAGTAAGACTCTTTTGCCTTTTGCCACAAAAGTTTTTTTGAAAAATAGCCAAGTATGGTGGTATATGCCACTTAGGAGACTGAGGCAGGAAGATCCCTTGAGCCCAGGAGTTCAGGGGTACAGCAGCTATGATGGTGCCACTGCACTGCAGCCTGGGTAACAGAGCGAGACCTTGTCTCTAAAAAATTAATTATCAAATAATTTAAAAACAGAATACCGTAGAAGCTACCAACATGTGGTCGTGTTACCATTTTTTTTAACACGTTCCTCAATATTAAAATGAATTAACCAGAATTGATTTATAGACATTATTAAAATGAGGCAGAATAGTATCACATTCTTAGTTTTCGACCTGGACAAAAGAGGAGTCATGCCTTCTCATTGACTTCCAGAGTGCTGTGGACAGTCTTTTTTCCTGAGTTTCTATTTTTTCTCATAAGATGGGGATAACATTGCCTTAAAAGGATGTTAGAGTGTGCAAAACTATATTTTATATGATGGGAAAGAAGAAAAGTGCACACATGCTGAAAAGCCATTAGTTTTGCACAGTAAACGAACAGATGGTACAAAGTAAAGGCAGTGAAATGGCATATGATTAGCCCACTTTGTACCTTAGGGCCAAAGGATAATTAGAAAGGACTTCCGCCAAGGAAGTTTATAATGGAGAAAAGATTTCCAAAGGTGCGCCCTTTCCCTTGAGAGTATAATGTACTTGAATTGCAAAGTGAAGATCTTAATTCCTCATAACTGCTTGGTATAAATACTATAAAAAGAAAATTGTTTTCCAAGTCAACCTGTGACTTCTTTGGTACTCCTCTGCAGTTTGACATAAGCTGGTATAGAGAGTTTAAATCAGGAGATGAAATGTCAGATCTTTGACATTTGTTTTGATTTTATGATTTTTAATTCATATAGTGGGCATCTTGAATACCTGCTAGTACAGTGGACATTTTAGGTCACTAGCTACAAATGGTGATCGTCCCTTAAGAAACTAGTTACTGTCTTCTGCATGAAAAAATGTTTGCATCATCGTAGAGCAATAAATAGTGTTGCGGTAATCCCAACTCATTCTCTAAAAATAAAAGCTTACACTTACATGGTGCTTATTATGTGCTAGGCACCAATCTAAATGTTTTACATATATTGTTAATCCTCACAGCAACCTTGTGAGATAGGTACTATTATTATCCTCATTTTAACAAATGAGGAAGAGTGATGGGTTGAATAACTATAAATACAATTACTGTAAACTACCAGTAATGTTAAAATAGTTGTTGGGGAGTCTTTGGAAATCTGCTGCCTCCACTTGGAAGGAATCACCCTTCTTTCTACCTCCCTTTTATTGACAGCTACTATAGTCTTTAGAGATTGGGATTGTCTTAAAATTAAATTACTTCTACTTCCTTTTTATTTTGTTTTCTTTCAAAACCATCCCTGAGACAGGCTTCAGGGGTTGTTATTACAAGTTTAAGTTTATAGAAGCAACCAGAAATTCAGTAACCCACATCAGGGTATAGGTTAGTTCATTACTAAAGATAATCTCTTCCCTTCATTTCTCCGTTATTCTTTTGCCCACCTTTTATCATTTTGACCAGTAATGGGTTCAGGTCAAGTATTGGCATATCTAAGTAACTATATTTTTCAGTCATTTGAAAAAGATACGGTGTGAAATACTCTTTTATAGTAAGGGCATAAGATCTCTGAGATACTACTTTAGATAATTTTCATGATGATGGTATTTTATGGCATAGATTCTTTTGCTTACATGTTTGAAAATGTAACAGTCAATTCACCACAGATCTAGTCTCACAGGATATGGCTACTTAACCAATATTTTTAAAAATGTTATTATTAAGGAGAAATAGATTATCCATATTTGATAGAATTTGGTAAAGTTAGCAAGCATGACCTGTGGGAAGTAGTGATGGAAAAGCATGCAAATTAGAGCTCTGCTGCATTAGAACCAATCCACTAACAAATGAACTTAAATTTGGGAAATAAATGTTTTTACAAATTCCTCAATTCTAGATGATAGATTCCCATTCTTATGACATTGCTAAGTTAGTAAAATTGCAAAAAACAATTTATCCTGTCTCAGCTTACTATTCCTTACCATGGTTTTTAATTACATTATTATTTAAATATTTTCTTTCAGATGACTAGTCATTTAGATTAATACTGTAATTTTCATTTAAAGTGCATTTTTTTCATTTTTTGGAACACAAACAGGGTATGCTTATCAGAGACCATCATCATAAAATGGCTACTTAAATTCTTTTCTGTAAGATGACAGTTTAAAGGAAGAGTGCTACCTGACTAGTCACTCAAGTAAGAGGAAGCTGTTGGGTGGGAAAGAAAATACCACATAATTAGAAAGAAGACCCGTGTCCCAGAGGCTTAACTAAGGATATTTTTATAGCTTTTGCCCACAAACTTTGTCCCAGTCATGGCAAAGTGATCCACAATTTAAGGAATCCCTTTACTGCAACTAGTAAATTCAGTCCACCTCAGTGCCCCCAAACTAGACAGTGTGTCCTATGATACCAAAATTAAACATTTGAAAGCCTCAGTTCCCTCACTCTTTGGATCACTAGTGTTATGTGACACGTTGTCGTATGGTTAAAAAATAGCAAAATTTAACTGTTACTATAGTCTGATTCTAAAAGAAAATTAGTCTATTTAAATAGTCACATAAAATGTTAAGATATGTTTGTTTATTACAGTGTTAATTATCATATTGGAAAATTGTAAATAATCCAAATGTTTACCGGTAAGGGATAAATTACATTATAGTTTAGCAATAAAATGAAATCTTATGTAGGTTTTAAAAAAAATGAGATAATATCAGTAGTTATACCTGTGTATGCATGCATGAAAATATGTCCAAGACATATTGCTTAAAAAAGAATCAAGTTAACATTATAAACTTAACAGCTTAAAAGTGTTTAAAACTTAACACAGCTATGGAATTACAGGGAGCTTTCACATAAAAGTATGAAAGTGTGTTTATGGTGTTTGAATTTTTTAACATGTATTTTGTTTGAAAGCAGAAAAAATAAAGTCTCTGTTTCTATGTTGGTTATAAAGGGAATTATCTGTTATCCCTGTCTGTTGAATTTTATAAAACATATAAAACATGTAACTAAAAAAAGAATGCTAGCCGGGCGCGGTGGGTCAAGCCTGTATTCCCAGCACTTTGGGAGGCCGAGGCGGGTGGATCACGAGGTCAAGAGATCGAGACCATCCCGGTCAACATGGTGAAACCCCGTCTCTACTAAAAAAATACAAAAAATTAGCTGGGCATGGTGGCGCGTGCCTGTAATCCCAGCTACTCAGGAGGCTGAGACAGGAGAATTGCCTGAACCCAGGAGGCGGAGGTTGCGGTGAGCCGAGATTGCGCCATTGCACTCCAGCCTGGGTAACAAGAGCGAAACTCCATCTCAAAAAAAAAAAAAAAAAAAAAGAATGCCATATAACATATATAAAATAATACTTTTTATGGGTTAGAAAGTAGTTGTTTAGATGAGGTAAAGGGAAAAATGAAAGGATTATTTAGGAGTAGATCCAATGAGGAAGAAGAAGTTTCATATTTGAATACCTGAAAATAAAGTCCAATGCAGTGGCTTCCGCCTATAATCCTAGCAGTTTGGAAGGCCGTTGGGGGTGGATTGTTTGAGCCCAGGAGTTCAAGACCACTCTGGGCAACATAGGGAAACCCTGACTCTACAAGAAGTACAAAAATTAGCCTGGTGTGATAGTACACACCTGTAGTTCCAGTACTTGGAAGGCTGAGGTAGGGGGATTGCCTGAGCCCAGGAGGTCGAGACTACAGTGAGCCAGATCATGCCATTGCACTCCAGCCTGGATGACAGAGTGAGACCCTGTCTCAAAAAATAATAAAGGATACTGAAAGGAGCAAAAGCTGTGAGTATAGCTTTCATGATGGAAGCAGAATGGAATGATAAGATTGGAGAAAACTGGAGTAAGATGTAGTGGAAGTAAGGTCTAGCTCCAGAGTGGCTGATAGAGGATTCTGAAGATTGTAATCTGTATGTAATAGGATTCAAAAAAAAAAGATACCAACATGCCAAATGCAAAAACAACCTTAGTGTCAGTGCTACAGACTGTATAGTAGTGTGCGATAATAGCAGACATAGTTAAAAGAGGAACTACCCCTTCCTCTTGCTCAGCCTGTTTTCAGCACAGCAGCTAGAGTGATTCTTTTAAAAGTTAAGCCAAATGAAAACTTCCATTGGCTTCTAATTTCAAACATAGCAGCCCAAAATGAGCTTCCTCCACATGACTTTTTGACCTCATTTTCTTGTACTCTCCCCACCTTCCTCATTCCATTCTAAACACAGTCCTCCTTGCCTTTTTCAAAACCATCAATCGCGCTACTCTTACTCTTTAGAATCTTTGTTCAAGTGTCATCTTCTGAATGAGGCCTACCTCTGACCATCTATTTAAATTTCAATCTAGGCCGGGCGCGCTGGCTCAAGCCTGTAATCCCAGCACTTTGGGAGGCTGAGGCGGGTGGATCACGAGGTCAAGAGATCGAGACCATCCTGGTCAACATGGTGAAACCCTGTCTCTACTAAAAAGATACAAAAAATTAGCTAGGCATGGTGGCACGTGCCTGTAATCCCAGCTACTCAGGAGGCTGAGGCAGGAGAATTACTTGAACCCAGGAGGCGTAGGTTGCGGTGAGCCGAGATCACGCCATTGCACTCCAGCCTGGGTAACAAGAGTGAAACTCCGTCTCAAAAAATAAATAAATAAATAAATAAAATAAAAATAAAATAAAATAAAATAAATTTCAATCTGCCTTTCTTCCTTTATATTCCTATAGCAATTTCATCTTAGAGTATAATATCTAATCATTATGCTATTGTCTGTTATCTCTCTCTTTCCTACTTGAATCAAAGTTTTATGAAGGCAGAATCTCTGTCTCTTTTTGCACATAGATATATCCCATGCATCTAAAACAGGGCTTGTAACATAATAAATGCTTACCAAATATTAATTGAGTGGAATGGATGGATTTCAAAAGCATGTAAAGAAGACGGCACTTATAATCTAAAAGAAAGTTGTATGCTAATGCTATGAGTTTTAACTTCTCTTTAAGTTTTTGCTTGAAATATCATAGAATCTCAAAATCAATAAGTAGTATATATATATATATATATATATATATATATATCTCCAATTTAGGAAACAGTTTCAGAATATGGTTTGGACATAATTGAAAATGTTTTAAGCTGTTAATCCACATGCTTGAATTTTATTCCTGGTATGATGTTATTTGCTTTTAATAGTAAAAAGCACACTTTATATGTCCCTTAGTTTAAACCTTATTTCTTGCTTCTAAGTGGAAACTTAACTTTCTACCTGTCTTCTGGAGTTATTCATTTGGTTAGCGGAAGAATTGTATAGACTAGGCACAGTAGCTCATGCCTATAATCCCAGCATTTTAGAAGGCCGAAGTGGGTGGATCATTTGAGGTCAGGAGTTCAAGACCAGCCTGGCCAACATGGTGAAACCCCACCTCTACTAAAATTACAAAAATTAGCCAGGCATGGTACCAGGCACCCATAGTCCCAGCTACTTGGGAAGCTGAGGCAGGAGAATCACTTGAACCTGGGAGGTGGAGGAGGCAATAAGCTGAGATCGCGCCACTTCACTGCAGCCTGGGTGACAGAGTGAGGCTCTGTCTTAAAAAAAAAAAAAAAAAGAAAAGAAAAAAGAAAGAAACAGAAACAGAATAATTGTGTAAAACTTTTTTGTACCGCTATAAACTGTTTCTTACATGAACTGCGTTAATTTATAGATGATGATTGGCAGGAAGCACATGAGCGCCTGGCTGAATTGGAAGAAAAGCTACCAGTGGCAGTTAATGAACAAACAGGCAATGGAGAGAGAGATGAAATGGATTTGTTGGGTGACCATGAGGAGAATCTGGCAGAAAGGCTCAGTAAGATGGTGATTGAAAATGAACTAGAAGATCCAGCTATCATGAGGGCAGTGCAGACCAGGCCAGTTTTACAAGTAAGTAAGTTACTCTGATTTGAGAACTGTAGCAGACTAAAAATTAAAGTGAAGTAGTGAACTTTGCCATTTTATTTTATCTACTCAAATGAGAGATTTTACATATGCCATAGAAAATTAATAACATATTTCCTGATGATAGCAGTTAAAATTGGCAAATAATGTATATTCTGGAGCACTGTAATTTCTTATTCTAAAGCAGCTTGAGGCTGTTTTGGAACCTTGCTCCCCAACAGCAGATAAGTCACTCAGAGAGTATACAACATTTCAGACTTTGTATATATGTTTTCCTTTTTTGTTAGCCCCAACCAGGAAGTCTGAATTCCAGTATCTGGGATGGATCTGAAGTTCTGAGGCGAATCCGAGGACCGCTGCTTGCTCAGGTATTAAATACTTTCTCTTTATATAAAATTTCGAGTACCCAAAAATTTTAAGTTGGTTTCTGTTGTCATCTTTTCCTTACTTGAAGGGGTTTGTAGGTCTTTCATTTGCTAGAATTATGTTAACTACTGCATCCAGTACTTAGCTATACCTTTCTTCAGCCTCCAGGGTAAAGTTTGCAAGGGAGCCATTAGAATTTAAATTTGTTAGTGTAATATTATGATTTGAATCACTTAAAAAGTCATTTCTGAGCCAGGCACAGTGGCTCATGCCTGTAATCCTAGCACTTTGGGTGGTTGAGGCAAGCGGATCATTTGAGGTCCGAAGTTCAACACTAGCCTGGCCAACAGGGCAAAACCCCGTCTCAACTAAAAATGCAGAAATTAGCCAGGTGTGGTGGTGGGCGCCTGTAATCCCAGCTACTCAGGAGGTGGAAGCAGAAGAATCACTTGAATCTGGGAGGTAGAGGTTGCAGTGAGGCAAGATCACACCACCACACTCCAGCCTGGGCGATAAAGTGAGACTTTGTCTCAAAAAAAAAAAAAAAAAAAAACAGCAACAGTCATTTCTATGCAAATCTATAGGGGTTGGGCATGGCAGAAGGGGTTAACTACAAAGGAACAATACAAAGAAATTTGGGGGGAATGATACAATTGTTCTCTCTCTATTTTTTTGAGACTGGGTCTTGCTCTGTCACCCAGGCTGGAGTGCAGTGGTACAATCATAGCTCTCTGTAACCTTGAACTCCCAGGCTCAAGTGATCCTCCCACCTTAGCCTCTTGAATAGCTGAGACTACAGGTGCATACCATCATGCCTGGCTAAGTTTTTTATTTCTGTACAGATGAAGTCTTGCTATGTTGCCCAGGCTACTCTCAAACTCCTGGCTTCAAGTGATCTTCCTACCTCAGCCTCCCAAAGTGCTGGGATTTCAGGCATGAGCTACTTACCAAACTCAGAGAACCATATACCAAAAAGTGAATTTTGCTGTATGTGAATTAAAAGTAAAAATTTTAAAAATAATTTCTTAAGGTATTCTTGGCATCTGTAGAGCTTACTAAAACTTATCAAGTTAGTTAATTTCTATTTTATTTTACCACTTCTTCAATTAGGAAATGCCTACAGTTTCTGTATTAGAATATGCCTTGCCTCAGAGGCCCCCCCAGGGTCCAGAAGATGATCGGGACCTTTCTGAACGTGCATTACCAAGGCGGTCAACTTCACCTATCATTGGGAGTCCTCCTGTTAGAGCTGTCCCCATAGGCACCCCACCTAAGCAGATGGCTGTACCCAGCTTCACCCAACAGGTACCTCTCATTAACAGGCACCCAGCCCAGGATGTTGGGAATCTGGGCAAAATTATTGGGAAAATTGGTGATGTTGGGTGGAGGGTGGAAATTTTGGGTAGGCATTAGATTAGAAAGAAAAATAACTAGTTAGAGGAGAAATTAGTACAAATAAGAGACACATTCCCTGATACCCTTTGATGCTACTATTGCTGCTGCCATTTAATTGGGGGAGAAAAAAGGGTAGTTAGCCACATTTAGCACATATATCCTTTTTAAAGTGTTTTGCTGGCTCTCCAAAACATTGTCAGAGAGGTAACTGAAAGCTGGGGGGAGTGGGAACACACAGCTTTGTCCACATCCCTTTTTACCTTTAAGATATCCCTGCTTTCCCTAGAGCCTGTGCAGTCCTGTTCCATAGACTTTCCTCCACCTGAAACCAGCAGCTGAAAAGGAAGGCCAATTTGGAAGGTATGGGGGGAGGGTGGTGTTGGTATGGCCTAGTTAGGCTCAACATCCTATGAAATGGTGGAGTCACAATGTATCACAAAAGTGCTGAGCATGGCGGCCATATCACAGGGGCTTCAGAATAGGACTTAGTTAATCCTCCAGCTTTCTTATCATTCCTTCTCCCTTGGTGCTACCAAAATATATCCTCTTGGAGAGAATTTGCAAGTCAGAATATCTGCTGGTACCTCCCTCAGACAGCATGGAAGGGTGGGGATAACTGGAGAATTAGCTAAATCTTCCTGAGTTGTTACTGACACTTTTCTTGATTTGTGAGAGAAAGTGGCCTAAGGTTCTGTATTTGAACCTGTAGCCATGGCCATTTGCTTAGAAGTAGGGCTTTGCATTGAGTTCTGTGTCTCTACCAGTACTTGAGGGGAGGGAGTGTAGGTGGAAGAAAAACTGATTTCATTGAGTGTAGTTGTATATATGTTTGTCCTGATAGATTCTGTGTCCGAAGCCCGTCCATGTTCGGCCCCCAATGCCACCGCGTTATCCTGCTCCCTATGGTGAGAGGATGTCTCCAAACCAGCTCTGCAGTGTTTCGGTATGTCACTGTAAGCCTAACAAAAATGTGCAGTATGTATTTTCTGATCACTATTTGTATGATCACTGCCACTATTTAGATTTGCTGTTATCTCCAAAATTATACCTATTCTTCATAATCTCCTTACTTAAATTTCTGGATCTAACTGTCCCCAGGTCAGATGACTGTTGTTTCTTTCATCATCTCTTTTCCTATCTTTAAAAATCTAAACTCATTATGATCATCTGGTTCTCTACTGTTTCAGTCCCACATTCTACTGCTTTATTTTCATGTCACATGGTCATAGTGTTTTTATAATTTCTTTTATTATATTCCAGAGCTTGACTCTATAATTTGAGAGTTTTATATCCAAGTTTATACTGCATTTCTGCTGAGTTTCCTTATTATATTGATGTACCCCCTGTTTTATAGTATATTCTTTTTTGTGTTTTTTTACCTTAGAACTCTTCCCTCCTGGGTCACCCTTTTCCTCCAAGCGTTCCTCCTGTTCTCAGCCCCCTTCAGAGAGCACAGCTTCTTGGAGGAGCACAGGTAAGCCTGTGATTAGCCCTACCAATAAAGAACTCGCCTACTTTCCTAAAGTTTATTAGATGATAGCCCCGTTTTTCTGCTATTAATCACAACTATTTTTGCCTTTACTTTTTCAAACAAAGTTATTGATAGAAATGGTATTCACTTTTCTGTAGAGAAAAGCAGGGGGACCTGCTGATTGTCTGAATCTAAAATCTTGTTCCTCTTTGTAGCTACAGCCTGGACGGATGTCTCCCAGCCAGTTTGCACGGGTCCCTGGATTTGTTGGTAGTCCACTTGCTGCCATGAATCCCAAGTTGCTGCAAGGGCGAGTTGGGCAGATGCTTCCCCCAGCACCAGGCTTCCGTGCCTTCTTTAGTGCTCCACCCTCTGCTACACCACCTCCACAGCAGCACCCTCCTGGTCCAGGACCTCACCTGCAAAACCTAAGGTATGCAAAAATCAATGCTGCTGCTTATTGATTGTCAGCCACGTCTCCTGATTGTGGATGTGTAGTTTTGTAAGTCTCTTGATATTTGCTAATAAATTTTAAGATGTTATCAGATCCTCAAGTTAGCAAACACAGAAATGTTTGACAATCTCTCAGCTTTCTTGTGAATCACATTTTTCTCACATTACCAAAGGGTATAGAACCGAGAGATAGATGCTAAAAAGTCAGATAATCTTCATACTAGCTAAGTCGTTTGCTTTTATCCTCTGATTTTATAACAACAGGGGTTCGAGTTCCTGCTTCAGTGAAGTTGTATTTCATTACATATCGTATTGTAGCAGTCAGGATTTTTCAAGAGAAACACAAGAACCAGTAGAGGAAAGAGAGCAAGAATGTTCATGTGAGCAGGTTTTATTTTAAGAAATTGGCTCATGTGATTGTAGAGGCTGACAAGTTCAAAATCCATAGGACAGACCAGCAGGCAAGAAACAGGTAAACACTCAAGTTGCAGTCTTGAATTTGAAATAAGTACGGCAGGTCAGCAGTCAAGACGCTCAAGCAGGACTTCTGTGTTCTAGTCTTGAGGCAGAATTCCTTCTTCTGGGAAACTTTAGTTTTTGTTCTTAAGGCCTTCAACTGACTAGATGAGGTCCACCCACATTATTAGGGGTAATCTCTTTTGTAAGGTAAACTGATTATAAATGTTAAACACATCTATACAAAATACCCTCACAGCAACATCTAAACAGTGTTTGACCAAATAACTGGGTATTAAGGCCTAGCCAAGTTGACATGGAATATTAACTGTCACACATGTATCTTTAATGACATTCCCACATAGTTGAAGCTGAGTACATTAAATCTACTTAGACGTCTGTTAAACAGTTAGAAGCAAAAAGAAAAAAAATTCTACTGCTCTGCTGCTAATTCACTCAGATTTCATGAACATCCTTTTAGATTTGGTCTTTGTGGAAAATATGTAACAATAGGACTATCTTTTGCTTCTAAAAGTTCTCCTTAGAATAGACTTTTTTTTTTTTTTTTTTTGAGACAAAGTCTCACTCTGTCTCCCAGGCTGGAGTACAGTGATCCACGCAATCTCAGCTCACTACAAACCTCTGCCTCTCAGGCTCAAGTGATTCTACTGCCTCAGCCTCCCAAGTAGCTGGAACTACAGGCACCTGCTACCATGCCTAGCTAATTTTTGTATTTTTAGTAGAGACATGGTTTCACCATGTTGGCCAGGCTGGTGTCAAACTCCTGACCTCAAGTATTCCACCTGCCTTGGCCTCTCAGAGTACTGAGATTACAGATGTGAGCCACCGCAACTGGCCCAAATAGACTTTTGTAGTCCTTTAAGTTAACCTGTATGAAATTATCCTGTACTGACACATTCTTTAAAATTTTAAATCATTGGGATGACAAAACTGAGAACCTCTTTTACGTTTTTCTTAGATCTCAGGCTCCAATGTTTAGACCAGACACAACTCACCTTCATCCACAGCACCGTCGACTCTTGCATCAAAGACAGCAACAGAATAGAAAGTAAGTACTTATCTGACTCCTTTATGGCTTCTTAATTCAGCTTTTAATTTTGACAGTATAACAACATGCTATTTAGGTGTTTTTTTTAGTAAGTTTGCTTCATATCCATAAACCTGTATATATTATCCACATGTATAAATATGAAAAGCTTAATATTGAGTAAAGAAGCAAGGATCAGAATTACATGTACCATTTATGTAAAACTAAAAGGGATACAGAATAATACTGTGTAATATTTAAAGACAGATACACAAGTAGTAAAATTATAAAAACATTTCATGGAGAATACTTACCAAGGGCATAATAGTAGCCTCTATGAAGGAAGAAAAGCTGAAAACTGGATCTGGAAGGGTACAGCAGGAATGTGACTCTCAATGTAACACTGTGTTATTTTAATATTACTTTAAAATATTTGAAACAAATTTGACCAGACATATATTTTTTCTATTAGGTCTAGGTGATGGGTAAAGGGATATTTATTTTAGTATTTGCTGGGCTTTTTTCCTGCATTTGAAATATTTCATGATTTTCAGTGAGTTAAAAAAATGTATGTAGACTTCAGAGCCAAATCAGCCTGTGTTCAAATCCCTTAGTCCACCACTAGCTGTATGGCTTTGGACAAGTTATTTGATCTCTCTTGGCATCTGTTTGTTATCTTAAGTAGGGAAGAGAAGACTACCTACCTCACAGAGTTATTCTAAGGCTTATATAAAAGTATCTTAGCATATGGTAAGATACTCAGATCTTAGATTTATTTCTTGATTATTTATTGCGTAGCTCTTTCCTCTTAAATTCTATTAAGACGTGGTTCTTTTTCACTCCCCCTTTAAGAAAAGCAAAGGGGAATCTTTTTTTTTTTTCTTTTTTGTGAGACGGAGTCTTGCTCTTGTTGCTCAGGCTGGAGTGTAGTGGTGCAATCTCGGCTCACTGCAACCTCTGCCTCCTGAGTTCAAGTGATTACAGGTGGGTGCCCGGCTAATTTTTGTATTTTTAGTAGAGACAGGGTTTCACCACGTTGGCCAGGCTGGTCTTGAACTCCTGACCTCAAGTGATCTGCCCAACTCGGCCTCCCAAAGTGCTGGGATTATAGGCAGGAGCCACCGTGCCTGGCCAGGGAATCTTTTTTTATTTTTTATTTTTTTAAAAAAAAGGTGGCCTGGTTTATTCATCTGTTGTTAAAAATCGTAAGTAATTTGCCCACTTGGAGTGAATATGGTGTATGTTTTTCAGTCAGCATCGGAATCTCAATGGTGCAGGAGATAGAGGAAGTCACCGGAGCAGTCATCAAGATCATCTCCGAAAGGATCCATATGCCAATCTCATGTTGCAGAGGGAAAAGGATTGGGTCTCTAAAATCCAGATGATGCAACTGCAAAGCACTGATCCCTACCTGGATGATTTTTATTACCAGGTAAGTACTCTGCTAGTTTTGTGGATAATAGTTTTATCCCTTACACTGGTAAGGATACTCATTTAAATATTGGTACAATTAAATATTTGTAAAATTTTCTTTTGAGGTACTTAGTCTCTTGCACTATTCACTACAGTTTGCTTATATGCTTTTCACTAATATATAGAGGCTCTCAGACTAGTATTTTCAAATCCCTTTTGGCATCAATAATATGTGGTTTTGGTTAGGGGTAGGATTGCAACAGGATCTCTGTTGCCAGGCTGGAGTGCAGTGGTCCAATTATAGATCACTGCAGCCTCGAACTCTTGTTTGGGAGGCCCATTTGGGCAGATGACTTGAGGTCAGGTGTTCAAGACCAGCCTGGACAACATAGGCTCAAACAGTTTTTCCACCTCAGCCTCCTGAGTAGTTAGGACTATGGGTGTGTACCACTACACTAATTATTAATTTTTATTTTTGTTTTTAGATAGGGTCTTCCTCTGTCACCCAGGTTGAAGTGCCATACTGTGGCCTCAACCCCCTGGACTCAAGTGACCCTCCCACATCAGCCTCCCCAAAGGGCTGGGGTGGCCCGCGCCATCACACCCAGCTATTGTTTTTGTTTTTTGTAGACATGATGTCTCACCATGTTGCCTGAGCTGGTCTTGAACTCCTGGGCTGAAGTGATCCTCCCACCTCGGCCTCCTAAAGTACTGGAATTACAGGTGTGAGCCACCACGCCCAGCTCAATTTTTTACTTTTTGTAGAGACAGGGTCTCACCATGTTGCCAGGGCTGGTCTCAAACTTCTGGCCTCAACTGAGCATTTTGTCTGAGCTTCCCAAAGTGCTGGGATTAGATGCTTGAGTCTCACCCAGCCTGTTTTTTCAATTAAGAATATTGGCAGTCTAAAGAAATTTCCATTGGTGTTACCTAACTTGAAGGCTGGGCTTTTTTTTGGTAAAGTAAATTTGTAGCAATCTAACAAAATTAGAGATCAGTACATTTCTAGAGTTGAACTTTTGTTACTGTCACTGGTATAAATTATTTAATGGTAAAGAACAGCATGTTCTATGCTTGTGTTACAACTGAAATCATCTTCTCATGGTAGAATTACTTCGAAAAACTGGAGAAACTGTCAGCTGCTGAAGAAATACAACGTGATGGCCCTAAAAAGGAGCGCACCAAGCTTATCACCCCTCAGGTGGCCAAACTGGAGCACGCCTATAAGCCGGGTAAGGTCCTCATAGGAAAAAATGCCCATAATAAAAGCAATTTAAGAAGCTGCTGATGTGATTAAATATAGATATTTGTATAAGTGGAAGGATGTATAAAGATGTTTCAAAGTGATTTTAAAAGTATTGTTGTCCTTAATAAATACAAAAGTCAGCCTTTATTCAAGCCTGGACTGAATGATTTGACATGTGCCCTTTTAGATCCTTTTCTATTTGAGATTTCATGATTTTTTAAATGTATTATAATTTTCAGTACTCCTAAAATAAGTAACAGGGAAATACTTTAGATTTTTATTATGATAATTATTGCAGCAACAAAAAGAGAGAGAGAAAGGATAGATTTTAATAAGGGGTTGCTTTTGTCTTTTTTTTTTTTCTGTTTTTGAGAAAAGATTCTTACTCTGTCGCCCAGGCAGGAGTGCATTGGCGCAGTCTCAGCTCGCTGCAACCTCCGCCTCCTAGGCTCAAACAATTCTCAGGTATCACCTTCCTGAGTAGCTGGGATTAAAGGTGTGCTGCCATATCCAGCTAATTTTTGTATTTTTAGTAGAGATATGGTTTTGCCATGTTGGCCAGGCTGGTCTCGGACTCCTGGCCTCAAGAGATCCACCTGCCTCTGCCTCCCAAAATGCTGGGATAACAGGTGTGAGTCACCACACCCGGCCTAAATAATACATTGACTTTTGTTGTAAATTATTAGATTATGAATAAAGGACAGAGGAAAGTAAAGATCTTTGAACACTGCCTGCCTGCATTGCTGACTTTTTATTTTGTTGGAACTTTTTTTTTTTTGTCTTTGCAGTACAATTTGAGGGCTCTTTGGGAAAGCTTACTGTTTCTAGTGTGAATAATCCCCGAAAAATGATTGATGCTGTTGTGACATCTCGGAGTGAGGATGATGTAAGTGTTAAACAATTGTCATTTAAGAATATCTGATTTGTGACCACTTCTTTTAGGGTCACCAAGGAATGAGATCAGGCATCATAGAGTTGTTTGTTGTCTAACGGGGCCTCCCACCTCGTCATGCATTCTAGTTTTCCAGAGATATGCTGCGATATTAACACTTTCATTTCTAGGGTAGCCAGGCAGAGATTAGGGTGGCAGGAGTCTTTGGACTGGGTAGCTCTGGCTGCAAACAGCATGTATTTACTACAGTTTGATGTTTAAAAAAATTATGATTTCCTATGTGTTTTAAGATTTTCAGAAAGAGGATCAGAAAAAAATAATTATGGGATACTAGGTTTAGTACCTAAGTGATGAAATAATCTATACAACCCCTGTGACACGAGTGTACCTGTGTAACATGTGCCCTATAACCTGCACTTGTACCTTTGAACCTAAAATTAAAGTTTAAAAACAAAAAAGATTGTTAAATTTCATATGATTTCTTTATCCAGATTACCCTTTGCCTGTCTATGAATGTAATTTGATAGTTTGTGGGTTGATTTAGTCAACTCTGATCTTTGTTCATAGGATTGTTTAAGATTATTAACTTTCAGAGAATCAATTATCTTCTCAAAGTATTGTCACAAATGAACCTACAGATGCACACTTGGCAAATTATTTTAACAGAGGTAAAGAATTTGCGTTCAAGAGTCTTGTCTTTTTTTAGGAGACGAAAGAAAAACAAGTTCGAGACAAGAGGAGAAAAACCCTTGTCATAATTGAGAAAGTAAGTTTTAGAATTTGTTGCTATAATTTGTTTCAAATATGGAACTGTCAGATGTATGTATACACTAAAACCAAAAGCGTGAGCAGTCAATCAGTATTCTTTGGTTTTAATTAATGAATATATTCCTGTAAGTGACTATTGTGTACCAGATCACTCTGAAAGGATTATGGTATGCTTCAACTGTTGGCATCATGGAAAGAGCACTGCAGTTGGAAGTATACTGGGTTTTTGTCGAAGCTTACTCAGCTAATAGCTGAATATCTTTGGGCAGGTCACCTTTCTAAGCCTGGTAAAACGGGAATAAAAATTACATAGTCCTACCTATGGATTAATTTAGTTCACAGATGTTTATTGGGTACTCCCTGGTTACAGGGCTTTCCTTTTCAAGAAGGATGCACAAGATGAAGTGACTATGCAAGACAGGACATCTTTCCTTTGAGTCTTTATAAGTGATAAGATTTCTAGAATCCAAACTTCTTTGGTGCTGAGGAAAATAATAGATACTGATAGTTGATTTGTGAAATGTCAATACCACATTGTAAGCCGTACATCATAGTGGTTAAAAGCATGGATTCTAGAACCAAGCTGTAAATCATGTCTTTTCCATTTCTGAGTCTGTAACTTAGGGTAAGTTATTTAACCATTCTATGCTGTCCTCAGTTTCTTTATCTGTAAAAACACAGATGATAGTAGTTTTCTCTTTGGATTGCTTTTTTTTTTTTGAGACGAAGTCTCACTCTGTCTCCCAGGCTAGAGTGCAGTGTGATGGTCTCAGCTCACTGCAACCTCTGCCTCCCAGGTTCAACCAATTCTCCTGCCTCAGCCTCCTGAGTAGCTGGGTTTACAGGCTTGGGCACCTTACCTGGCTAATTTTTTGTATTTTTAGTGGAGATGGGGTTTTCCCATGTTGGCCAGGCTGGTCACGGAAAGTATAATTATTTTACTATCTTTGCCTGCTAGAATAGAGGTCAGAGAGAGACAAAAAATGGTGGTTTCAGGATTTTTTTTATACTTTTAGGAATTTTCATATGGTTTTCTGCTTTTTTTTTTTTTTTTTTTTTTTTTTTGAGATGGAGTTTTGCTTGTTACCCAGGCTGGAGTGAAATGACGCGATCTTGGCTCACTGCAACCTCCACCTCCTAGATTCAAGCAATTCTCCTGCCTCAGCCTCCCGAGTAGCTGGGACTACAGGCGTGCACCACCACGCCCAGCTAATTTTTTTGTATTTTTAGTAGAGACGGGGTTTCACCATGTTGACCAGGATGGTCTCGATCTCTTGACCTCGTGATCCACCCGCCTTGGTCTCCCAAAGTGCTGGGATTATAGGTGTGAGCCACCGCGCCCGGCCTCTGCATTTAAAAAAAATAATGTCTGTCTTTCTATAATTTTCATTCTGTTGTCTTTACCTAGTAGTCCTAAACTGTGAAATTGTTTAATTAACACTCTGTGGTTCTGATCTAGCATGCTATGGCCTGTTTTCATCTCCCTTCTTAGACTTACAGTTTACTCCTTGATGTAGAGGACTATGAAAGACGTTATCTCCTAAGTCTAGAAGAAGAGCGACCTGCCCTAATGGATGAGAGAAAGCACAAAATTTGTAGCATGTATGACAACTTAAGGGGGAAATTGCCTGGACAAGAGAGGTAAGTAAGCATTGTACACTTTGAGGAAAACATTAAACTAACTGGACTCTTTCCTCTATAAAACTGGGCTTCATACATTTCTGCCTTTTAGGTACCTTTCCCTATCATCTCTATAAGCTCAGAATCTATCCTTTTAGCCTAACTCAAATGCCACTTCATTTAAAATATGAATGATCATTTCCAGTGAGGAAAGAAAAAAAAAACCTCTTTATCCTGAATTTATTCATTCAACAAATATATATTCAGCATCTGCTAGAGACAATGCTAGACACTAGAGATACAATGGGTAACATTATTGGGTTTTTGTTTTTGTGCTTAAAGATTGTACCTGATTTATGATTACTATTATCTTTAACCTTGTAATCTTTACGTATTTTTCCTTTATTACTAAGATCAGATGTACAAACATTTATACTTCCTGGTATTTCCTCAGAATATTTATATCCTGTTGAAACTATTCAGTCTTCCAATGAGGAATCCCTTTCCTACCCCATTATCTGCAAAAGAATCTTGCTAATGTTAAATGTTTCATAAATCCTAAATACTTATTTGTTGAATCAAGAGAACTAGGACTTCTGATAATTCCCTTTTCTTTTACTCATTCAAGAGAATTGCTGATCCTTCTAAGCCAGGACATACACAAAACCAAACATAACAATAAGCATTTTTCAACACACCTTATCTGGACTTGGGCTGACAGGGAACTGATTGAATGAATGGTTTATCCATAGACTGGAATGTTATACAGCCATTAAAATGTATGTAGTTGAAATACATTTATTGATATGGAAACAAGAAGTTTTTGAGTGAAAAAAATCAGGGTACAAAACCATATGAGTTCTATGGGCCCATTTTTTTAAGAAAGAAAAATTATGTAATACACAACAAAATATTGTTTAAAATGGTAACACTAACTCTTGAGTTGATGAATATTTTTATCTTTGCCCTTTTTTTTTTTAAGGTATTGTTCTGTTAACCATGTGGTGTTTGTGTGGTTACTTAAAAGCTAAGAAAGGAGGCTGGGCACTTTGGGAGGCTGAGGTGGGCAGATCATTGGAGGTCAGGAGTTCAGAGACCAGCCTGGCCAGCATGGTGAAACCCTGTCTCTACAAAAGTACAAAAATTAACTGGTTAGCTGGTCATGGTGATGGGCATCCATAATCCCAGCTGCTTGGGAGGCTGATGCGGGAGAATTGCTTGAATCCAGCAGGTGGAGGCTGCAGTGAGCCAAGATCGCACCACTGCACTCTACCCTGGGTGACAAAGTGAGACTGTCTCAAAAAAAAAAAAAGTGTTGGCCGGGCACGGTGGCTCAAGCATGTAATCCCAGCACTTTGGGAGGCCGAGGCGGGTGGATCACAAGGTCAAGAGATCGAGACCATCCTGGTCAACATGGTGAAACCCCATCTCTACTAAAAATACAAAAAAATTAGCTGGGCATGGTGGCGTGTGCCTGTAATCCCAGCTACTCAGGAGGCTGAGGCAGGAGAATTGCCTGAACCCAGGAGGCGGAGGTTGCGGTGAGCCGAGATGGCGCCATTGCACTCCAGCCTGGGTAACAAGAGCGAAACTCCGTCCCAAAAAAAAAAAAAGTTAAGGAAATTAATGCGTACAGTTTGGCCAAGTTTTTTTAAAGCATATAATTTGTAAAATGATGATTTTTCTACATTTGTAAAACCTGCAAATTTACTTTTTATTTGGTTGAGATTTGAAGTAATTCTTACTGTTTTATAGTACAAATTATTATAGAATGAAAACGAATGTAGTATATTCATTCAGTGACATCTAAGAGGAAACAATGAGGAATTCTTAATTGATCTTGCTAATTGACCTAAGTTGGCATTTTTCTTCCGTTGCAGGCCTAGCGATGACCACTTTGTACAGATCATGTGTATCCGAAAAGGGAAGAGAATGGTTGCCCGTATTCTTCCTTTCCTCTCCACAGAGCAAGCAGCTGACATTCTCATGACAACAGCCAGGAACCTCCCTTTCCTTATCAAGAAGGATGCACAAGATGAGGTGACCATGCAAGATGGGACATCTTTCCTTTGAGTCTTTATAAGTGATAAGATTTCTAGAATACAAACTTCTTTTCCCCTCCTCTTCCCTTTTGTAGTTTTGTCTAATCTTTGGCCGTGTGATTTGATTATTTAAAACAAAACCTTTAGTATTTCAGGCCTATATTTTTAATCCCATATTTGGTCAAACAGACTCTGTTTCTAAACATGAGAAAAGCAGCTCTTACTTGACATAGTTGTGAAGTTGTGGTCTGTATCAGAATTACTTGTGTAGATAATTCAGCTCCACCCCAAACTGCCAAATCAGAATTTACAGAAGGATTAGGGCTTTTGTATCTTTGTCTCCAGCTGAATCTGATGTTCACTGAAGTGTGAAAACTTCTAGTGTTGATTACTTGGCTAGATATAAAGTGTCATTCATTGGTCTGTTATCAGTAGCTTAACATTGGCCTGTAACTTAGTTAAATGGTATCCCACAGCAACTGAGCTAGCCTTTTTGGTTTTTTTTTGGGGTTTTTTTTTTTTTTTGAGACAGAGTTTTGCTCTATCACACAGGCATGAGTGCAAGTGCAATGGTGCGATCTCTGCTCACTGCAACATCCGTGTCCCAGGCTCAGGTGATTCTCCCACCTCAGCCTCCTGAGTAGCTGGGACTACAGGTGTGTGCCACCACATTTGGCTAATTTTTTTTTACTTTTTGTAGAGATGTGATTTTGCCATGTTGCCCAGGCTGGTCTCAAACTCCTAGACTTATGCAATCCTATCTTCTTGCCTTCGCCTCCCAAAGTGCTGGGATTACAGGCTTGAGCCACTGTGCTAGCCTGAGGCTAGCCCTTTAAATAATTTTTATCATGATCTAAACTAGGCTGGAATTTGAAACATGGCTATCATATATACAGGTTAATTCTTGGTTAGAGTTTATCTTTCCTTATCTTTGTCATAGCACACCTGAAAGATGATAAGAAGTTCAAAATAAGAAATTGATAAAAGTAGTACAAAGGATGAGTATTAGTGCAAGACTCAGAATAGTAAAATATATGGGAGTGAACCTGTTACAGACTACAAGTTGAGTAATAACCATCCGGGTAATAAGTCCCCAGAAAACACAGAATACCAGAATACCTTATAAATTGTATGCCATGAAAGGGAAATTCTTTCTTCATAGATCCTTGAAATGTTAGCATCTGCAGAAGAAGTGAACGAGAAGTTTAGGTCTTATTGGAAGGAGTGAAGTGGGTTGGGACAAGTATTTATTTAAAAGAGTTGGCTGGGCACAGTGGCTTATACCTATAATCCCAGCACTCTGGGAGGCTGAGGCAAGTGAATCACTTGAGGCCAAGAGTTTAAGACCAGCCTGGGCAACATGATGAAAACCTGTCTCTACTAAAAATAGAAAAAAACAAAAATGAGCTGGACAGAGTGGTGTGCACCTGTGGTCCTGGCTACTCAAAAAAAAAAAAAAAAAAGATTCCACAAATGAAAAATGATTAAATGATTTGGGAAAAGTTCCCGTATTTGAGGTTTGTCCTAGAAAATAGAAGACTAAACTAAAAAGTAACAGCTACCTTAGAGCATATAAATTGTAAACAGTGTAATGGACACTCACTCATAATCCTACTAGAGCTCTTCTGTGGAAACAAGTTTGGGAGAGCTTTATTTATTCAACAAATATTTGCTGAATAATTCTATGTGCCAGGCACATTTTACCTCCTAGAAATACAGCCCCTAGTTCTAGGTGCTAAAAGTTAAGAATACAAAAGTGCCTGCTTTCATGGAGCTTACCTGCTAGGGAGGAAAGCTTGGCTAAATACTGAGGCTGATTTTTACCTGTATGTTTTCAGGAGTAATAAACCACATCTCTAACTACCATTTTCTTGAAGTAATAGCTGGTTCTGTCTGAACATGAAATGTACACAATATCCTGGAATATCTTGTGCCAGAAAGCAAGGAAACTAATAGATTATTAGGGCTCTGTCTAAAGGATGCACAAACCAACTTCAAGGGGCTCATATTGTCCAAAAGTGGAATAATATTGATCAGAAAGAACAATTACAGCAGTAGATTGAAATATATCAAATATATTTAATGAGTTGATGTTAACCAAACATATATGGATCACCTTCGAAGACTTTTGGCCATCAACTCATTATTCAGAAAATTGGTAAATAAAGGAAAAGAAAGCATTTATCCTGCCTTTCCATTACAATCAAATGTCATGGTAATCAGACAGTTGATAATATAAAGTTACTCTTTGTAGAAGGATTTCAGCTAATACAAAATAAAAGATAAAATTAGAAGATAACTGTTTTTATAAGCCTCAATGGAAAAGTGGTCAATCTAGCCAGTGCTCATTACTGGCTGCTAAAAGCTTTAGATAAAAAGTGGATGGGGAACTTTACAGTGGGTGAAACAGCCTGGCAATACCTGAACCCACTGATGCACCCTTAACACATCACTAAGAGTGGGACAACCAAGCACTGTGTGCTTTAAAAAAAAAAAAAAAGGAAACAGAGTCTCCCTGTGTTGTCCAGGCTTGTCTCAAGCTCCTGGGCTTGGGCAGTCTTCCCATCTCTGCTTCCTAAAATGCAGGGATTACAGGCGTGAGCCACCATACCTAGCCTTTCTTGACATAATGCAATGGAAAATACACAGTTCTATCCATGAAGTTTTCCCAGATGTCCCTCCTACACCCCACTGAACCTGAATCAAATAAACCTGTTACTCTGTCGGTTTAGAAAGGAAACAAAGGATAGCAGAACTTGCTAAGTGACACTGCAGACATGCAGTTTGCCAAATTCAAACTATAGAACAAATGACCTCGTTTCTTTAACAGATAAATAGCAAGAGAAAAGGGCCAGTGGCAAAGGACCTGTTAGAGATATTTTTAAAACCTTACCAGGCAAATGCAATGTGTGGCTCTTGCTTGGATCATAATTAGCACAATAATGGTTCTAATACAAAGTTCAGCTGCTAAAAGATATTTTTAAAGGTATTTGGAGGAATTTGAATTTGGAGCGGATACTAGATGATATTTTTAACTTATTTCCTGAGAAATGGTCTATGAAAGAAATTATTGTTTATTAGGTATGATATTGTGAGAGAGTTTGTTAGAAATACAAACCAAAGGCCAGGTGTGGTGGCTCACGCCTGTAATCCCAGCACTGTGGGAGGCCAAGGGCAGCAGATCACCATGTCAGGAGTTCAAGACCAGCTGACCAACATGGTGAAACTGTCTCTACTAAAAATACAAAAGTTAGCCAAGTGTGGTGGTGTGCACCTGTAATCCCAGCTACTCAGGAGGTTGAGGCAGAAGAATCACTTGAACCCAGGAGGTGGAGGTTGCAGTGAGCCAGGATCGCACCACTGCACTCCAGCCTGGGCAACAGAGTGAGACTCCAACTCAGAAAAAAAAAGAAAGAAAGAAAATACAAACTGAAGTATTTTAAGATGAAATGATATAGGAGGAACATAGATTTAATGAGATTGGTAAAATGTTGATAATTTAGTTGATGTTGAAATTGGGTGGTGAGTACATGAATGTCATTATGCTGTTTTTTGTATTTTTGTGTAATAAAATGACCATAATAAAAGCTTTTTTTATTTATAGTAGTAGACCACAAAAAATATTTCCCCATTTGTGGGTGCCATTTAAAGTAAAACCCACCATCACTTTATACCATGGGCATCAGTTGTCTGGAAGCACTCTTCATTTCCTTTGATGCGTTACAACCTGGTTATTTATATTAATAGTTCTGTATTTCAACTTTCCAGTTAGCTACATGACAAAAAGAAAATGAATGTCTCGAAGGCTGGAATTCAACAGCCTTGGGTTCTGGCTCTAGCTGCTGGCTATATAACTCCAAACACTGAGTTTCTGATCATGTCACTTACCTAAAAATCTATAAAAATTGGCCAGTTATTTCTCTTCTTCCTCACTGAGCTTTTATTTAAAAAAAAAAAAAAAAAAAAAAAAAAAAAAAGGAAGGAAATACAGTTAAGTCTAAAAACACTTTTTTTGAGACAGGGTGGGTTTCACCGTGTCACGCAGGCTGGAATGCAGTGGTGCAATCATAGTTCAATGCAACCTTGAACTCCTGAGCTCAAGCAAACCTACCTACCACCTCAGCCTACTGAGTAGCTGGGGATTACAGGCAAAATCTTTTTATTCGTTGTAGAGATGAGGTCTCGCTACATTGTCCAGACTACTCTTGAACTGGCCTGAAGTGATCTTCTGCTTGGCCTTTATGTTAGAGTGCTTCTCACAGTATATTGAAATTGCCAATTAACCCATGTCTTCCCCACTATACTTTAGATCCCTGCAGTTCTGTGTCCTGTTTGCTATTTGTTCTTAGTCCATGGTGACTGGCACAGTGTAAGCATTTAAATATTTATGGAATGAATTAAAATATTGATGTTTTAGCATGACCCTTGGTACGTATTTGGAAGTGGTTTTTTTTACACCCTTGGTTCACACAAGGTATGGTGTTTCTAATGCAAATTAAGATGAAAAAGTTCTCAGTAGATAGCTTAGAATCCATTGTTAAGACTCTAGTCATATCTGCCAGACTTATGCTGTAAGTGTTGAGTATACAAGTGAGCATCCCTCCATCCATGCCCCGATGGAGGGTAACTGAGGTAACACATGCCAAGAGATAATGCTTTTATTTATTTTTTATAGGTGCTGCCATGCTTACTGAGTCCCTTCTCTCTCCTCCTCTATCATCTTCCATCAGTGACTATCACCAGCCTTTTGCAACAGCTAATGAACCTACCTCAAAGTGCAGCTACACCAGCACCCTCCAATCCTCACCTCACTGCTGTGCTCCAGAACAAGGTGATCTTGCCCTTTTATATCCTTGAACTTTGTAAAGTGTCTTTATTTGTGTTATAGATTAAAATACTGGCTGCTGTATCTCTAGCAATTTGTGAAAAAGGCTTCTTTTCAGTCAAGAGTTACATTGAGCTGCTAGTAAGAGGCTAGAAATAAGTGTTTGCAACAAAATAGGATTTTATGTGTCTAGTGTGAAACAAATTTGCTATAGTAGCTCCACAGAATCATCAGGGATCCAGGCTTTTTTACTGTTTCTCTTCTGCCATTCTTGGCAGTGGCTTCCATGTTCATTATCCTTCATGGTCCAAGATGGCTGTGGAATTCAAGACTCGGCTTTACGTCAGGAAGAAGGGTTGGGTGTGGAGGGCAAAAAGGTGTGGACCAGCTGTCCATCTTCCTTATTAAGGCCTTTTCCAGAAGTTCTAACCAAAAACTTCCACCTACTGTTAATGGCTAGGACATTGTTATATGGCCACACCTAACTGCAGGGAAGGCTGGAAAATATCTTTTAGTTCACAGCATTGTCATAACACATAAAATAACAGTTCTGATCAGGGGTAGGAAGGCATATTAGGTAGGCAATTAGCAGTCTCTGTCATAACACTATCAATAGTAGAATCTTCCATTTCATATTTTATTTGCATCAGTTTAAAGATTCAGAGATTCCTAAGGGAAATAATAAGAAAGAAAGAACATGAATTTTTAGTCTTTGCCTGCTACTGTCTAGCCTTGTGACTTTGGACAGATGATACCACATTGCTGAACCAGTTTCCTGGTCTGTAAAATGGAGGTGATGATGTAGACTTCATAGAGTTGTTCTGGTACTTCAATGAGATAACAGTTGTAAGCGGTTCAGTATAATGCCTGGTACATAGTAGTTACTCATTTAGGGCCAATCTATGTACAGTAGAGGTGAAAAAGTGGTCTCAAGGCCTTTTGCTCCTTTGCACCTGAAAACCTGCCAAAGCATGACACTAAAGGGCAGTTTATTAGAGGCAGAAGAGGTGACAGTGCCTCTGGGGACATAAGACAGGGTTCATTGGTGATCAGGAATGTGCCTTTCTGTTATTTGCTTTCTTAGTTTTAATTTTATTAAAGGCAGTAGTATTTTCTTTCTGAGAATAACATGAAAAGAGATTTTTTATTTTTAAATCAGGGTCTGCTCTGTCACCCAGGTCAGAGTACAGTGGCAGGATCTTGACTCACTGCAGTCTCTGCCTCCTAGACTCAAGCCATCCTCCCACCTCAGCATCCCAAGTAGCTGGTACTATAGGCACATGCCACCACACCCAATTAATTTGTGTAGTTTTTTGTAGAGATGAGGTTTCTCCATGTTGCCCAGGCTGGTCTCAAACTCCTGAGCTCAAGTAATTTACCCCCCTCAACCTCCCAAAATGTTGGGATTACAGGCATGAGCCACTGCAATCAGCCATAAAGGGAAATTTTGTGGAAAAGTAAGGTTACTATCCTCTGTGAGTGAACTTAGACAGTTGGGATGGAATCTCAAAGTACTGCCAGCCTTCCTTTTATGATCCATTTATAGCTATGATCATATCTTTAACCTAGACCTTCTTGTCCCTATTTGTATTTTCTTTTTTGAAATAGGATGTTACTCTGTCACCCAGGCTTCAGTGGGACATTCACAGCTTATTGCAGCCTTAACTTTCTGGACTCAAAGTGATCCTCCCACCTCAGCCTCTTGAGTAGCATGTGCCACCATGCCCGATTGACTTTTTTTTTTTTTTTTTTTTTTTGAGACAGTTTCACTCTGTCACCCAGGCTGAAGTACAGGGGTGCCATCTTGGCTCACTGCAGCCTCTGCCTCCCAAGTTCAAGCAATTCTCCTGCCTCAGCCCCTCGAGTAGCTGGGATTAGAGGCACCTGCCACCATGCCTGGCTAATTTTTGTACTTTTAGCAGAGATGGGATTTCACCGTGTTGGCCAGCCTGGTCTCAAACTCCTGACCTCAGGTGATCCGCCTGCCTTAGCCTTCCAAAGTGCTGGGATTATAGGCATGAGTCACCGCACCTGGCCTCCAATTTATTTTTTATATTTTTTCCAGAGACCGGGTATCACTGTGTTACTCAGGCTGGTCTCAAACTTCTGGACTCAAGCAGTCCTGCCTCCACCTCCTAAAGTGCTAGGACTACAGGAGAGAGCCACCATGCGCAGCCCCCGTTCATATTTTTATCCTATGCCCTAAAGACTACAGTTCCTGATTTTACTGTCCACTAAATAAAACATATTTTTATATATTAGGTGGGTTTTTTGGGGGTTTTTTTGAGACAGAGTTTTACTCTTGTTGCCCAGGCTGGAGTGCAATGGCATGATCTCAGCTCACTGCAGCCTCTCTGCCTCCCGGGTTCAAGTGATTCTACTGCCTCAGCCTTTCGAGTAGCTGGGGATTACAGGTGTGTACCACCATGCCTGGCTAATTTTGTATTTTTAATAGAGGTGAGATTTCACCATGATGGCCAGGCTGGTTTTGAACTCATGACCTCAGGTGACCTACCCACCTTAACCTCCCAAAGTACTGGGATTAAAGGCATTAGCCACCACACCTGACCATTTTTATATATTTCATACTCTAAAGCATGTTGCTGAATTTTAATTGTAGATATTGTGTATATATACTTTTACCCTTTCTCTCTTTTTATATTTTAGATTTTTATTAACATCTTTATATTTCCAGATAAAGATGTGCTTTTTAATGAAAAGTTTCTCTTGCTGGGCGCGGTGGCTCAAGCCTGTAATCCCAGCACTTTGGGAGACCGAGGTGGGTGGATCACACGGTCAAGAGATCGAGACCATCCTGGTCAACATGGTGAAACCCCGTCTCTACTAAAAATACAAAACATTAGCTGGGCATGGTGGCGCATGCCTGTAATCCCAGCTACTCAGGAGGCTGAGGCAGGAGAATTGCCTGAACCCAGGAGGCGGAGGTTGCGGTGAGCCGAGATGGCGCCATTGCACTCCAGCCTGGGTAACAAGAGTGAAACTCCGTCTCAAAAAAAAAAAAAAAAAAGTTTCTCTTTATACCATGATTATTTCAGTTGTCCTTATCTGCATATTTTCCTACAGTTAACACCTTGTTTCTTAATTCAAAATACCTTCCTTTATTTAATTCTTTTTCTTATTTTTTCCTTATTTTAATTTCTGTATCAAAGTTGGTCTTCATTGCTTTCCTTTTTAGCCTATTTTGGTTCCCATAAATAGAAGCAAGTGCAAATCCTACATTATCCATTGCAAGGAAGAATCATCTTTTAACCTCAGCATAGGGAACATAGAGGCATGTTGGACACCATGACTTTCCATTTCTGTTGGCTGTGCCTGGTCAGTGCTGTGCCAGAATAAAGCGTGGAGAGAGATGTAGCTTTTCAACTCATGCTTGTCTGATCTTTGCCTGGTTTCACAGAAAAGCACAGTAGTGAGGTCATACTGATTTAGAGCTATTCCCTATCTGATGCCAGGATCCCCTCAACAGTGGTGGAGGAGGTTTCAATGCAGTGTTAAGTTTGATTCCCTCTTTCTTCTCTCATAGTTTGGCCTATCGCTGCTCCTTGTCCTCCTGAGCCGTGGGGAAGACCTACAGAGTTCAGACCCTGCTACAGAATCAACGCGAAATAATCAGTGGTCAGTGTGGACTGTTTCTTCTCTTATTTTATGTTCTTTGAGGTAATCTTTTTAATTTTTTTCTCATTATTATTATGGGTTTTCCCTATCAGGACGGAGGTGATGTTTATGGCAACACGAGAACTTCTACGGATTCCCCAAGCAGCCCTGGCCAAGCCAATCTCTATACCTACAAACCTAGTGTCCCTCTTTTCTCGCTATGTTGACCAGCAGAAACTGAACTTGCTGGAGACAAAACTGCAGTAAGTTTGAAACAGGAGTTTCACATCTCACTAAAGTTGGCACTTTAGAAGTTATGGTTGGGAGGCTGGGTGTGGTGGCTCACATCTGTAATCCCAGCACTTTAGGAGACCCAGGAGGGTAGATGCTTGAGGCCAGGAGTTCCAGACCAGCCTTAACAACATGGTGAAACCCCATCTCTACTAAAAAATACAAAAGTTAGCCAGGTGTGGTGGCACATGTGTAATCCTAGCTATTCAAGAGGCTGAAGTATGAGAATCACTTGAACCCAGGAGGCAGAGATGGCAGTGAGCCGAGATCACACCACCGCACTTCAGCTTGGGCGACAGAGCCAGACTCTGTCTCAAAAAAATAAATAAATAAAAAGAAGTTATGATTGAGGTGGAGGGGGGGCAATAAAGCTGAATATAGTGGAAGACATTGGCTTTTTATTAACTATTGTGTATCTATTAGATATAAAACACTGAACTAGGTACAACAGGGCCTTCATAGAAGATGACTAAATGCTGAGGGTAGAGAAGTATCTCGGGTGTTTTGTTAGAAGTCTTACAAAGATGTAACTGTAATATGAAAGATTGCCTTCTGTTTCAGCTCCTTTATACAAACAGTTTTCCTTTCTCTCTTCTGTAACCCTAGGCTAGTTCAGGGGATACGATAGAAGATCTCCAGATGTGTCCTGTACCTCCTTTTGGCTGTCACCTGCACTGCTGCCATCACCAATGGAGTGTTTTTAATGAGGGAGGGAAGGTAGCTTATTTCCCCAAAGCAAAGTCTTATGGGATTGATTCCTGTTTACAGGGGTTGTCTCTAAATGTCAGATATTTCCCCACTGCTCTGTGAAATTTGGCTGGGTGATACTTCTGCTGGTTTCTTCTTTACCTTCTATGTTACAGTTCTGCATGTTCTACTTTTACTGAGTTCTTCTCAATTTCACATTTTCTTTGCCCTGGACACACAAATGTAATCTCTCCCTTTATCCCACCACTACTCCAGCTCAGAGTAGATTGTAGCCTGCCAAAGGATTCCTTCCCTCATCCTATTGAAGTTGTTTTCTCATTGCCCACTATTAATATGACTATAGGAGAGCCAGTTAAGTAGAAATCAAGATATACACACATGCGTAGATACACAAACACACCCCCCATACATGTATTTATGTGGTCTTCAGAGGGTCCTTAAACAATTTTAGATTGAAAAGTATTTAATTGTCTCATTACCTCTAAAAACACAAACCAGCTGATGTGTTTTAATCTGTTTCTGTTCTATCTTGTAATTAATTTGGTGGGTTTTACTTGTTTTAACATAAATAAAGAATATGCAGCACGTTTAATAAAGTCAGAACTCTTAATTGGCTTATGCCCAGGTCTAGGCTGAGAAGTCCTTTTTCTTCTTCCCACCTTTTTTTCCTTAGTTTCTCTCCACCTTCATGGAAACAGCACATGGTTATGCCTTTTTCCTGCTACAACTGCTGTGTACTTGAGCCTTTCCCCTCAAGTGCTTTCGAAGTCACCCAGGATGGTCCTCACTAGTAGCCTGCTTTGGCAGTGTGGCTTTCTGCACACTTGCCCTGTCTTCCTGAGACTACTTCAGCAAGCCATGCTTTACTTCTTTCTTCCCTAGTTTTATTTGCTGTCATGAATAGAACCTTCAAAATGTAACCATGGAAGCTAAGTTTGGCCTGCTTTGCTTTTTAGACTCCACACCATGGGCAGAACTGCTGTCCTTGCTGCTTCATCTCACCCAAGTCCCATTCCCAGGCAGCCAGGGGCCTAAGTTTGAATAACTGCAGGGCCAGCCTGCCATGATTCTTTCTCATTTACTCCTCTCTCATTCAGCAATCAACCAGACTAAGGGGTTTTGATCCCTAGTGATTACAGCCCTGAAGAAAATTAAATCTGAATTAATTTTACATGGCCTTCCTGATCTACTTTCTGCTGTTCTTACCTTTTCGAATGTAGTTGGGGGGTGGGGGGAATAGGTTATGATATTTAAAGAGAATAAACATTTTGCACATACATGTATTGTACAACAGTAAGATCCTCTGTTAAAACCAGCTGTCCTTGTTCTCCATCTCCATTTCTTCCCATGTTGTAGCCCCAGACTCCACCAGCTGTTCCCCTGACGTTACCTAGCTTCCCTCCACCGTTATCTACTGACCATTTCCACTACACGCCTTTCCTACCTTCCCTTCACAGCCAGTCAAGTGAATACTTGATTATTATCTCTTCCTTACTGTGCTTTATCTTTTTTGTTTGGTTCTAATTAATGAAAATAAAAGTTTCTAAATTTACATTTTTATAGGGTATTGTAAATAAAAACAAATTGTATACTTAAAAATGAGTGCCTGCATTTCTACTTTGTTACTTCTGAATATGATTTTTATGTGTTTCTAGCATATGTTAGATAGACTGGCAACCTTTTGATGTTGGGGATTAAAGATATTATTACCTATATTTTTACCTTTTTAATTTTGTTGCAAAGAAGACAGATAAATATCTTACTTTTATATAGTAACTTTTCTTTAAAAATCTAAGATTCTTTCAGTTTTCCTTTCCCCCCATTTTAACTGTAAGACAAAATTATAAATTGTAGTAGATAAAATTATAATTTGTAGTAGACAAAATTATACATTGAAATAGATAAACTATAGTTTGTCTTCTCCATCCTGCCCATCCCTAGGCATTGAGGAATCTGCACCTTTAAGCGACTCACATAGCTCAGTGAGGCATTCAGCTGCCTTCTTAGATAGTATTTGCTTAGTTCTGAACATATTGTATTTCAAAATTAATCTCTTCAAAGGAGATGAGAAAAATTTGGTCATTCTTTATAGTGAATTAATTTTCATTATTTCAGACTTGAGTATCATTTTTATTCTAAAATGCTCAAGATAAAAGATTCAGCAAACGTAGAGAAAAGCAAAAAAAAAAAAGTAGGATTTTGTTTTCAAGACAGTGTCACTGTCGCTCAGGCTGGAGTGAAGTGGCACAGTAGCCCAGTCACAACTCACTGCAGCCTTGACCTCCCAGGCTGAACCGATCCGCCTCAGCCTCCTAAGTAACTGGGACTACAGGTGTACACTGCCGCACCTTGCCCAGCTAATGTTTATACTTTACATTTGTAGAGTTGGGATCTCTCTGTGTTGCCCAGGCTGGTCTCGAACTCCCAGACTCAAGTGATCCTTCCACCTTGACCCCGCAAAATGCTGAGAGTACAGGTGTGAACCACTGCACTAAGCTTAAAGGGTTGTTTTTTTGTTTTGTTTTGTTTTTGTGTGTGTGACGAGTTTGTCTGTCACCTAGGTTACAGTTCAGTGACAATCACGGCTCACTGCAGCCTCTACCTCCCAGGATTAAGCAGTTCTCCCACTTCAGCTTCCCAAGTAGCTGGGACTACAGGTGGGTGCCGTCATGCCCAGCTAATTTTTTTTTTACTTTTAGTAAAGATGAGGTCTCACTATGTTGCCCAGGCTGGGCTCGAACCCCTGGGCTCAAGGGATTCTCCTGCCTTGGCTTCTCAAAGTGCTGGATTACAGGCATAAGCCACCAAAGTTTTAAATGATAAAGAGACAGGAGTTAATTTAACATTAGATGTGTGCCTAGTTACATAAAGCTTTTTTTTTTTTCCCCTCATGAGGACATGGGTTCCTTGAGGTTCAATAGTTTGTGGAGGTGACACAGCTAATAGGCTGCAGAGCAAGAGACTCATACAGAATATTAATTGCTGTAAGGAAATAAAATTATCTTCCAGTAGAAGATTTATTCACACCTTTTGACATGAAACAGCACAAGGTGTTATTAGCCCTGCTTTGTTAAACTGGCCTAAGGATGCCCCTACCTTCACAGAAGACTAGATTCCAAATGTCAGAAGTGAAGAAATCCCTACAGCCATACAGATCACGTAGACCAGCCCTCACAATTTGAGGAAGCCAAATCTCAGAGAGCAGTGACTTGCCAAAGGTGCCACAGCTGGCTAGTGGTAAAGCCAAAAAAGAAAAATTCAGATGGGAGGCCAGACGCAGTGGCTTACACTTGTAATCCCAGCACTTTGGGAGGCTGAGGCAGGTGGATCACCTGGGGTCAGGAGTTCGAGACCAGCCTGACCAACACGGTGAAAACCCATCTTTACTAAAAATACAAAATTAGCTGGGCATGGTGGCGCACGCCTGTAATCCCAGCTACTTGGAAGGCTGAGGCAGAAGAATTGCTCAAACCCAGGAGGCAGAGATTGCAGTGAGCCGAGATCGCACCACTGCACTCCAGCCTGGGCAACAAAGCAAAATTCCGTCTCAAAAAAAAAAAAACCTCAGGCGTGTTTACTCTCTCATGCTCTTTACCAGGTGTCCCCAAACTACGGCCTGTGGGCTGCATGCGGCCCCCTGAGGCCATTTATCCGGCCCCCGCCACACTTCAGGAAGGGACACCTCTTTCATTGGTGGTCAGTGAGAGGAGCACAGTATGTGGCGGCCCTCCAACGGTCTGAGGGACAGTGAACTGGCCCCCTGTGTAAAAAGTTTGGGGACGCCTGCTCTTTACTATAGTTCTCCATCATAGTTTATTACTGGCCCTAGTCCAGATAATTTAGGTATTAGGTTTTTAAAAAGTCATTTGTGGGCCAGGCACAGTGGCTCACGCCTGTAATCCCAGCACTTTGGGAGGCCGAGGTGGGTGGAGCACGAGGTCAAGAGTTTGAGACCAGCCTGCCCAACATGGTGAAACCCCATATCTATTAAAGATACAAAAAATTAGCTGGACATGGTGGTGCGAGCCTGTAGTCCCAGCTACTCGGGAGGCTGAGGCAGGAGAATTGCTTGAATCCAGGAGGTAGAGGTTGCAGTGAGCCAGGATCGCGCCACTGCACTCCAGCCTGGTGCCTGGTGACAGAGTGAGACTCCGTCTCCAAAAAAAAAAAAAGTTGGCCGAATGCAGTGGCTCACATCTGTAATCCCAGCACTTTGGGAGGCCAAGATGGGTGGATCACCTGAGGTCAGGAGTTTGAGACCAGCCTGACCAACATGGAGAAACCCTGCCTCAAAAAAAAAAAAAGTCGCTTGTGACCAGGCACAGTGGCTCATGCCTGTAATCCCAACACTTTGGGAAGTCAAGGCGGGAGAATCACTTGAACCCAGTCGTTCAAGACCAGCCTGGGCAACATGGTAAAATCCCAGCTACAATTTTTTTTAAAATTTTTTAAAAAGTCATTTGTAAGCCTCAGAGTAACTAGTGAGGACAATATTAACTTCAAAAAAAATTAGGTGATGCACTAAAATAATTTACAGGAATATGGCAGAGTTGAAAACTGACATTAATGCATGTAATCTCCTTCTGTAATAAAAAGAAGATCCTGATAAATAATACATAGGTAATCAACCCTAATGGGTAATAGGTGACAGCCTTGTGAATAATAGTTCACAAAATAAAATGCAATGCAAGTGAATAATATTAAGAAGCTCATCCCCCACTGGTAATCGAAGTAAAAAGTAAATGTTTTTAACCTACCAAATTAATAAAAACTTTAAAAATAATGTTAGAATTTGACACTACCACTCACTGGTGGGGGTAAATGTCTACCTTTCTGGAAAGTACTTTCACGATGTGAAGCACTTCAAAGTATTCTTAGCCTTTGAACAATTACTTTGGCTTTAGAAATCTAAAGATAACAAAGCAATGGTACTTAGCACAGCTTTACTTATTTTTCTTTTTGGAAGACCAGTTCTTGCTCTGTTGCCCAGGTTTTACTGTAGTGAAGCAATCATAGCTCACTGCGGCCTTGAACTGGCCTCAGGGAATCCTCTCCCATCTGAGCTTCACAGGTCACCTTGCCCAGCTAATTATCTTATTTTTTGTAGACACAGGATCTTGCTCTGTTACCCAGGCTGGTCTCAAACTCCTGGGCTCAGGTGAGTCTCCTGCCTTGGCCTCCCAAATGATTCATTACAGGCATAAGCCATTTCACCCAGCCAGCTTTACTCATAATAGAAAAATTAGAAATTATCTATGTTCAACATTACAATAATGGTTAAGTAAACAGTGATGCATTTGTTGTGGATAATTAGAAAGGCAGAATATTGGACTAGGTGCAGTGGCTCGTGCTTGTAATCCCAGCCTTTGGGAGGGAAGACTTTGCAAGGCTTTGTCTCTGCAAAAAAAATTAAAGCTTAGCCCAGCATGGTGGCATGTGCCTGTACTCCCAGCTGCTCAGGAGGCTGAGGCAGGAGGGTTGCCTGAGCCCAGGAGTACAAGGCTGTAATGAGATCCAGCCTGGGAGACAAAGCAAGGTCATGCCTAAAAAAATTTTAAAAGGCAGAATATTTAATCATGGAAAATATTTTATATAGTAGGGTGAAAAACATATACGCTTTGAATCCAATTTTTAAGAAAAATGCATGTCTGATGAAAAAATAATATTGGAAAGTTATGTTTCTAAAGATTACTGGTATCTATCTGTAGGTAATGGGATTATGGAGAACTTTCTTTTTCTTTTGGCTTTTCAGTAATTTTCAGATTTTCTGCAGAGAAAATGTATTGCTTAGGTTTTTAGAAAAAAAAATTTTTAAAGAAAAAAATCATTTTTGAAGAATTTAGTTATATAGGAAAATAGTAAGAATATAATGTTAAGTCAAAAATAGGTTCTGTAATATGTACGTGACAATCTCTGTGGAGTAAAAAATATACGGGAGGCTGCGCATGGTGGCTCACGCCTGCAATCCTAGCACTTTGGGAGACTGAGGTGGGCAGATCACTTGAGGTGAGGAGTTCAAGCCCATTCTGGCCAATATGGCAAAACCTCGTCTCTACTAAAAATACAAAAATTAGCTGGCCATGGTGATGTGCATCTTTAATCACAGCTACTCAGGAGGCTGAGGCTAGGTAATAGCTTGAACCCAGGAGGTGAAGGTTGCAGTGAGCCAAGATTGTGCCACTGACCTCCAGCCTAGGCAACAGAGTGATACTCCATCTCAAAAAAAATAAATAAATAAAAATAAAATATATACACACACACACACTTTTTTACTTTGTGTGTGTGTGTGTGCACGCGTGTGTGTGTAAAGAGTGAAATCAAGGGTGACCAAATAGTGGTTTCCTTTAAGAGAAAGAGCTGTGGACGATTTTGTGTGCAGATGATTGTTCCTGATTTTTAAATTTTCCCAATTTGTCTTCATTGAGCATGTATTATAACCTTAAAAGGGAGATATTATCTTAATACTGCTAAACATAGTAGCTATTTCTGGTGAAAAAACTTGTTCTACCTTTTCAATGATTACAATTCTGACTGGCATGAGATGGTATCTTATTGTGGTTATTTGCATTTCTCTAATAACCAGTGATGATTAGCTTTTT